TTGCAGATTGCTGATGAACTGTATATTTTCTGGTTTGCATGTGCCAGGATACTTGTGCACCAGTGTTCTGCCAGCAACACTCACAGTATTCCTGAAGAGGATTGTGTGTGCTTGTGAAGCCACTCTTATTCCACCTCTTAAGTTCTGTCACTGATATGAAGATCACATTCAGTAACATTTACTGGAAGGGATCAAATAGGCAAACCACTGTGTGTAGGGTCGAGGATAAAAGATGCAGGGATGATGCTACAAGTCTCAAACCCTAGATTGTGTCCACTGTCTTCCACGTTGTATGTGGGTTGCAAATAGCATGCTCTAAAAAGAACGCCTTCATCTAGCAGTCCACATGAGGTCTTGATGGCTGGTTTCAACTTCACACTCAAGAGGGCGGAATGTATTAACAGAAGAGCACCGGTGAAGGAAATGGTCACACTAATTCCATCTTGTCCCAAAACGTGGTGATGATGTTTCCAGTTGATGGGGTAGTCTAGAACTCAATGAACTCAGCTCGCTGAACATTCATTATGTAAATTTTTTAGTTTCCATCCACTTACAGGCTCTGGACCTTAAGATGCAACTGTCATCATAGAAGTTCTGTGGTCTATGATGGATATCACAAAATTATACACCTTAAGCTACCAAAAAACATATCACTGCTCAGAGTTCTCTTTGGTGTACTCTACATTCACTGCTAAGTGTTCAAAGTGCTGTTGCTTTCAATCAACTAACCACTTTAAAAGATAGGTAGGACAGTGCTATTGCTTTCACTCAACTTAGCACAGTCAAAGTTAGGTAGGACAGTGCTGTTGCTTTCATTCAACTTAGCACTTTAAAAGTTAGGTAGGACAGTTTTGACAAACCTACTACTATAGTTGCAGGCCTGACATGACAGGATATGCTGCAAGTTCAGGGCAACAACTGAGAGCGTCTCATTTTCGTGACTGCCCCCATGGGCATGCAAACGTGCGTGTGCAAACATACATCACCCACTCTGGGGAAACTTTTGCTAGCACTCTCAATAAGACCTACACCATGCTTGACCACCACCATAATCACAAGGCATTAATGCTATAAACGGCTTTATAACTTTAAAACTCTTCTCTATTTATATACATATAATTTATAGTTATATAGTATATATACTATATATTTAATATAGCATGATTTCAACTTCATAAAATCACTACTTTTTAATACAATAATGAGAACTTACACTAACTCCACACTTATGCAATATTTCTGGATATCACAATGTGCCAAACTTCTCTTGCAATGTACAGCAATAAATACCACCACCAACACTAGATCAGTAGTGCTTGTGTATTCTACAGAAATAAATACTCCATGACAAAGAGTTTACCATCATATGGATAATGAATGTCTTTTATAACTAAGAAAATCTATTAATGGAAACTACTGTCTTATGCAAGTCATTAAGACTATGGTTGTGCGGCTTAATATATCAGCGTATTTGTTCTCTTATTTCTTCATAATTATGCAATAGTTTTACATGAATATACTGTATCTAATATGTACTCTAGTATAAATATAAAACTACAGTATTTGTAAATAATAGAGTATATCTAAACAAATGCATAATGTACACTTTCACTGTCATTACAATAATCACTCAAAATTATTAATGCATACTTATCATTAATTTCAAATATGTACCTGCATCTTTAAATGTAAATTTTCTGAAATGACCTTCACAAATTATATGAAATACATGCTAGCTAACTGTCTATTACAGCTTATGAGATCACTTGCAGCCGTGACGTAAACAAACAATTCTAGAAAACAAGAATACACGAGTCATTGCAAGTACTCTATGTAACGAGAGCAGACTCAACATCTGAATTCTCATAAAAAAAGGCCTTAAAATACTATTTATGGCTGTAAAAATTAACACATGCAAAAATGAAGATAATAATACAATAATTTTTTATCACTGTTTTCAAGTGCATAAATAACATTTTAAAGCATTTTTTTTACAGATATTCCAAAGTAGTGTGCCATTACTGTTTGCAATGCTTCATATGTTCATTTCATTTTACAATTAAGTAAATGATTCTGCAGCAAAATATAAGCATGTAAATAAATATACCCAATTGTACCCTGTGAGACTAATGAATTTCCTTAATTTCAGACTACATGAAGGAATCAGTATGGAGCTGTCAAAGATGCACTCTTAATATGAGAATTTCACAGTACGTTGTGACAAACTGGGAGAAGTACTGAGGATCAAACCGGGGATCTAACGTACATGTACACAAGAGCACCACCATACCAACTAGACAAGTAAGTGTAAAATCTTAAGACCCACAACTGTGAAGTCCCCAGTGTTCTAGTCAATAAAACAGTGGTCTAGTCAATAAAACAAACAATGGTCTAGTCAATAAAACAGTGGTCTAGTCAATAAAACAAACAGTGGTCTTGCAAAAGTGAGGTTGCAAAATCATAATCCTTATACAATTCCTAATGTGGCATGTACTATTTTTTGTGTTAATGTGATGAGTACAGAAAATAAAATCCCAACAATGTGCCATCTATGATTTAGTGCAAAACAGCAGTTATGCACGAATATTTTTGCATGACTGCTATTTATTATTATTATTATTATAATCATAACCAAGCGCTAAACCCGTAATGGATTGTTATATGGCTGAAATACCATTTTTTTTTTTTTTTTTTTAAGTCAAGTGATGTATAGAAGTGACTGGTCGAGCTATAACCTAATCCACTGTTATTTTAACACATGAGAATTAATGTATATTCAACATAATGAATATTCAACTTTGATTAACATAAAGTAGTGCACCAGTAGTAATGAAGCTAAGAAAATATACATCATTTAAAATATATAAATCTCTATTGGCAGTAATGGCAATAATTGACAGTAAGGTGGACTGCGTACCATCACTTCAGAACAAAAACAAATCTTTTTATGGTCATTCAACCATATGTGAAGATTTGATGAAAATGTATTGATATACTACTTAAGAGTATTTATAAAATCCTTGCAAAAATACATTTGCAGAAAAAGGAAATGTACCTTTTCTCCACATCCCATTCAAGCAAGTCTAGTGGGCTAATGAATCCTCATATATTTTGAGCTAATACAGAGAAATATGCACTGGAATCAGCCCTGAGTAAATGTAAAGATGTTGGAAGTCCTCCTAAGAATGGCCATCAATATTCAAATGCCAGGGTAAAGTCTGTATCATCACTCATTGACATGATGTATGGAATGGGATTTAAGTTGTCAAATAGCATGGGTTATTATATATTAATTTCCTGCTCCTATTATTATTTTTAAATGAATTCTAAACCCGTTTGGATCATACAGCACTGTTCCTGTTCTTATGACAGGCAAAAAATCTGTGGACAGACACATTACTTTCTGCCATCTTAACACTATCAGCACGGCTTCCTAGGATATAAATACCTACAGTGAACATCGAGGTACTTATCATGGTCAATGTTCAATAATAACCCACATGGAGACAGAAACACAGTTTAATTGATCTGTATATTGTTGTGCCTCTCATCATGCACAGTGAAAGGCACAACCTTCTTATAAATTCATGTTCTCCTCTTACTTATGTATCTGCTGAGGAGGATCCGTGAAGGGGATCGAAATATAGAGGTCAACCAATCTTCCGAGTCTGTCTCCATGTGGGTTATTATTGAGCACTAACAGGTGTTCATTATACTTTATTCATTATGGTGTAGAATGTACAGTAAGTTCTCACTTAATGTAGTCGATAGGTTATTGGAAACCGCAACTTTAAAGCAAAACGACATATAACGAAACCAATTTTACCATAGGCTAATTGATATAAAAAAAAGAGTTAAGTTCCTACAACATTTTTCTGGTCACAAAAACATGACCAAACTTCTAAATTATTATTATTATTATAATCAAAAAAAAGTGCTAAACCACAAGGGCTTCAAACTTCTAAATAAAGACCCAAAACACTTGAAATAAATGTGAGCTATACATACATTTAAGAAAGATTAATAAAAACAAGATAATTATTTATCCAATTTTTGGCAATTCAGTGTGTATCCTCCTTGGTCCATAATTTTTATATTACAACAATTTGTATTCATTGTATTCAATTTTTTCCTCTCATCAACGTTATAACAAAACAATGCTATTCGAGGACCTGCTGTACTTTGTTTTATCAGTTAATGGTTCCAGGGATCACTGTCCATGCTGCCAGGTCTCACACCAGGCTTTCTAAAGTGGAAAGCAACTACGTATTACAGGTATAATAACTATTAAGAAACACAAAAAAAAGTAAAGTGCATATTTACCTATCATATGTGTTTGATACGAAAAATAAAGGTAATCCTGCTAATGTAAATTATTTAACAGGCTTCAGTTTCACACTTTTATGAGAGGCCAATAGTTTCAGTCCTAGAGGAACAGTGATGAGTAAAACTGTCAACCATCAAGTCCTTGGACAAAATATCCACAGTTGTTAACTGTTACCCACACCCACACCCACCCACCAGGTAACATCACCCACTGGGTAACATCACTAGAACTTCCCTTTGTATATATGAGCAAAATTTCAGAATACAGTGGACCCCCGCATAACGATGGCATCGCATAGCGATTTTTCCGCATAACGATTACTTTTATCGCAAAATTTTTGCCCCGCATACCGATTAAAAACCCGCATACCGATTTTCGTCCGAGACGCGTCCAATGTGCCCTCACATGTGCCGGCCGTCCCATTGTTTACCAGCCAGCCTCCGCGGTAACATCCAAGCATACACTCGGAATATTTCGTATTATTACAGTGTTTTCGGTGGTGTTTCTGGAAAATAAGTGACCATGGGCCCCAAGAAAGCTTCTAGTGCCAACCCTGTGGTAAAAAAGGGTGAGAATTAGTATGGAAATTAAGAAAGATTTTGAAGGGTTTGGGCTAACCCTGAGAAGCCTATGCCAGTTGTGGAATCCATGTGCCTACTTCAAAGATTAAGGAAATGTGTGCAGAGTGGTTTGAACTGCAAACCTTTATAGATGAAAATCACCCTGACACAGCTGTTGCAAGCCGTGCTTGTGACTATTTCAATGACAATGTTATGGCCCATTTTAGGAAAGTCTTGAAGAAACGGGAGGTACAGAGCTCTATGGACAGATTTGTTGTGCGACAGAGGTCCAGTGACTCTGAAGCTGGTCCTAGTGGCATTAAAAGAAGAAGGGAAGTAACCCCAGAAAAGGACTTGCTACCTCAAGTCCTAATGGAAGGGGATTCCCCTTCTAAACAGTAAGAAGATAATGCTCTCCCCTCCTCCCATCCCATCAATCATCACCAGATCTTCAATAAAAGTAAGTGTCATGTAATTGTGCATGCCTTTTTCAGTTTGTGTGTATTAAAATTAACATTTCATGTGGTAAAAAAAATTTTTTTTCATACTTTTGGGCGTCTTGCACGGATTAATTTTATTTCCATTATTTCTTATGGGGAAAATTAATTCGCATAACGATTATTTCGCATAACGATGAGCCCTCTTGCACGGATTAAAATCGTTAACCGGGGGTCCACTGTATATAGATCAATTATGTTGAAACTTGGCAAATGCATTGGGTGATGGCCATGAAAAAACATTTTAAGTTAATTAGGGAGTAAGCCAAAGATAAAGGTCAAGTTCAGCATATATACCATAATATATGCATATCTATTAAACTGTATTTGTATTATTATTTTTACCATTTACTTAGAAAAGCTTCTTTTATACTAAGATGGTAGACACTTTGTATTACAAATCCTGAGTCTTTTACACCTGAGGTCAAGAGCATAAAAAGTTAATTAATAAAAAGAGAATAATATTCATCATTATTATCAGTATCAGGATTAACATCATTTATTATATTAAAGCAAGTATACAATTTCCAAATGAAAAATATGATACCACTTTAAAGCATATACACCATCTTATTTGCAGAGTGCCAAATCTTTTCAGTATAAAATATTTTAACCCGTCATTAAAAACAGGTTAGAGAATCAGAGTTCAAGTGCTCACATATTTTATAACATCTACAAGCTTGCTGTGAGGACAGTTTTCCAAAAATGGTGAGATGAATAATTCGGTGACAGATGAAAAATACAAGTTACAAACCATACCACGGACGGGGATAGAACCCGCGATCAGTCTCAAAACTCCAGACTGTCGTGTTTTGAGACTCTCTGATCGTGGGTTCTATCCCCGTCCTTGGTATGGTTTGTTTGCAATCGTGTCATTACAATTTCGTAAGTCATGTTTACAAGTTACAAGCCTGCATAATTTCAATCACACTCCCATTCAAAAAAAAATCTTAACTATATCAGAATATTTGCATCTAAGCAGGTGTTACTATCTCCCTACTAACAATGTTCTCATCTTATGTAGGAATACAGTACCTAGTTGCTTTAATTTATAGTACATGTATATGTAATTTAACTTTCAACAAAAATGTACTCATAACTAACCCACAGTTTAAAAAAAATATAGATAATGCTGGGTCCATCCTGGGCCATTATTACTTTAACTCTTGATTTGATAAAGGTACAACATTTACAAAAGCATTATGTCAAATTGTAGGTTAGTTATAAATTGTTTCAAAGTATGGTGAATTTTATTCAACAAATTATATACTGATCCTCCCTACAAAGTTGCCCTTGGTGAGAAGTGCTTACTGCCAGTTGAAAGTTGCCCACTCACCACTTCTTGTATACCACATTACCCATAATGTGCGCTACTTGCTAGCCCTATTACATACTCTCACAAGCACACAAATAGCGTCACTACAAAATATTCCACAAAATATTTACTTCTCATACAGTATTGGCTTTATTTCAGTTATAAAGATAATGTAAATAAAATTACTTCAACATTCCTGGATATACAGTATTTGGTATTATGCTAAATGGTGCTGCAGAATTAATAAATAAATTAAGGTGAACATGGAGGTGGTCATGATGCAGGTCAGAACTGCTCCAGTGGCAGAGAATACTGCCTCATTATATGTACAACAGTATTTTTAGTATGTACTAGGCGAGAGGTGGAGCTTGGCTAATAAACTAATATACAGTACTATACATCTGTACATACAAATCAATAGTACAAACGCCAATTGCGATCCTCACTTGATGTCCTCCAAACACTATGTCCAACCAGTTGTGAATGGCAGTGGAAAGTTGTTCAATTTAAGTGTAGATCAAAAGGGGTGCTCCTGTCAAACAAGATTTTCCTTATACAGTACCGTACTTGTAAATAAAAACCTTGATTTGAGGAATCAAAAGCAAGATTTTCAAGGTGAACGAGACAATAATAATTAACCCTTTGACTGTTTCGGTCATATACATATACGTGTTACGAGGTACCGTGTTTGACATACAGTGGACCCCCGGTATTCGATGGCATCGGTATTCGATAAATCCGGTATTCGATGCATTATATCGCAAAAAATTTTCCTCGGTATTCGATTGAAAACCCGGTATTCGATACGATTCGTACGAGACGTGTCCACGTGTGGCCTGAACTGCCCCTTGTGTGCCAGTGTTTACAAGCCATCCAGTGTGCGCGCATCTAAGGATACATTCGGTACATTTCATATTATCCATATTATCACTGTTTTTGGTGCTTGTTTCGGCAAAATAAGTCACCATGGGCCCCAAGAAAGCTTCTAGTGTCAACCCTGTGGTAAAAAGGGTGAGAATTAGTATGGAAATTAAGAAAGATTTTGAAGGGTTTGGAGCTAACCCTGAGAAGCCTATGCCAGTTGTGGAATCCATTGTGCCTACTTCAAAAATTAAGGAAATGTGTGCACAGTGGGTTGAAGTGCAAACCTTTATGGATGAAAATCACCCTAACACAGCTATTGCAAGCCATGCTGGTGACTATTACAATGACAATGTTGTGGCCCATTTTAGACAAATCGTAAAGGAACGGGAGGTACAGAGCTCTATGGACAGATTTGTTGTGCGACAGAGGTCCAGTGACTCTCAAGCTGGTCCTAGTGGCATTAAAAGATCACCAGATCTTCATTAAAGGTAAGTGTCAATTATTTTATTGTTATTGTAATTATTCTATTGCATTAAACTTAATATTTCATGTAGTAAAATTTTTTTTTTTTCATACTTTTGGGTGTCTTGCACAGATTAATTTGATTTCCATTATTTCTTATGAGGAAAATTGATTCAGTTTTCCATATTTTCGGTATTCGATGAGCTCTCGGGAACGGATTAATATCGAATACCGGGGGTCCACTGTACATGTATATATACTCATAAATTCTAGTGGCTTCAAATCAAGCAGGAGAAAGCTGGTAGGCCCACATGTGAGAGAATGGGTCTGTGTGGTCAGTGTGCACCATATAAAAAAAATCCTGGAGCACGCAGTGCATAATGAGAAAAAAAAAAACTCCAACCGTTTTTTTAATTAAAATGCCAACTTTGTGGTCTATTTTCATACAGTATTTATGGTTGTATTCTCGTTTTCTTGGTCTCATTTGATAGAATGGAAAACATAATATAGAAATAGAGGTGATTTTGATTGGTTTTACTATGCAAAGAACCTCGAAATGGAGCTCAAAGAAGGGGAAATGTTTGATTTTTGCTGATGTTCAAAAGTAAACAAATGATGTCATTGTCCAATAAATGTCCAAGCAGGCATTCTGATATGCAGTCATGAATGGGTTGACATTATTTGTACAATTATTACAATATTGCAGTAGTCTGCATGACAGTATATCTTCTATTTTTTGTTCGAATAAAAATTCAAAATAGAGAACAAGAGTAATATCAGAGGGGCCTGGAGACGTGACTGATGAACAAAGAAAATGTTATTTTAGAGCCAGGAATGTCTGCATTGTTCATTCTGGACCCTATTTTGAAATTGTCGTATTTTTTAATTTTCGTGAAATTGGCCAAATTGCAAATTTCTGACCACGTTATTGGGTAGTTGAAATCAGTAAATGGGCAGTTTCTTGTACTTAATTGATAGAAAAAACGGAGTTCTAAAGAGATAGCTATGAGTTTGGTCGACTGGAACAATGGAATTAGCCGAAAATAGGGCTCAAAGTGGGCAAAGTCGCCGATTTGTAAATATCGCTGAGGTCGCTAACTTCTCGAGAGCGTAATTCTGTCAGTTTTCAATACCTCAGGATTGGGGGTTGCGACAGTCAAGGGGTTAATGTCTTAAGCAAATGAATGACTCAAGTGTCTTCACTCCATATACACAACTGTAGTAAGATACAAGGTAAGTATTTCATAAGAAAAAATATACACCTACCATCCAACTTATGACCGAGTTTGGTTCCGAGAAACCGGTCGTAAGTCGAAATGGTCGTAAGTCGAACTTTACTACTGAATATCAACAAAACATTTTTGTAATGACTTTATTTTATTGTTTTATTTTGGTATTTCATGTTTTACTTTACTTTTTATGCTGTTAGTACTGTATTTTATACTGTAAGGTTTAGGATAAACACTGTGTACAACACAAATAGTTGTTTATTTCCCAGAAATTTGGCATAAAAAACACAGTCGTAAGTCGAGTGGTCGTAAGTCGAGTGGTCGTAAGTCGAGTGGTCGTAAGTCGAGTGGTCGTAAGTCGAGTGGTCGTAAGTCGAGTGGTCGTAAGTCGAGTGGTCGTAAGTCGAGTGGTCGTAAGTCGAGCAGGTCGCAAGTCGGACGGTAGGTGCACCTGTTTATAATTAACAGGTCTAATTACTGAGGGTTTGTATACTTTACAGGGTTCCAAACATGCCAACTATTATTCGTATGAAAAGTATAAAATATTTAAAAGGTCAATGAATATAATGTTATAAACATATTACAAAGTATAGCACACTAAACATTATAACTCTGTACTTGAGAATTTTGTAATCCATTTAAATATGATGAGAAACAGGAAAATCATCCTCAACAACCACAGAAATTTCTACTATTTCACTGAAGTGAGAGCCAGGGATACTTAATCCATGGCCTGAACATAAAGGATTTGTACCACAGTCACCGGAGCAATGGTAAACACACACAACAACGGCTACCAGCGTGCATAAATATATTCATTACTATTAAGAAAATACCATCCCCTACCTCTGCTGAGTTATTTACATAACTCAGCCAGTTTTTTCCCCATTCAAATCTGACAACTAGTAAATGCTAGTAGCTCGAGTTTCTGTAAAAAAGAAAAAAACTGGAAAATTGCACTGAATTTTTAACTATATAACAATTAGCACCAAAATTTCAGTGAAACAATCACCTGTTGATAAATAAATCTTGTTAAGTTCTATGAACAAGACTGGTGCTGGTAAACCTTGGCTGACTTAGATGTAAGTGCGGCAGTCTCATAGTTATCACACACTGCGGAAGCAAGAAAAACATCATATCTCACAAGATGAAGCCTAAACTAAACTTGATAATGATCCAAGGTGGATTTATTCAATAACAGTTCATCAAGGATCAATTCAAAATGAACCAAATTCACTTCTAGTTTAAATTTTCAAATTGTGGGAGAGTTGTGAATTGTTCCAACCATGGTATTGTGATTTTCATTCCTCAATAACTCTTCATAATATTAAGCCACTAGCTTTGTAATAATGAAAATTAAAATCTCAGTTGTATGATGCTACCTTAGATTATTTATGGAAAGTAATCACAATAAAAAATTAAATAACAATCTACTGCCATAAAGGCATAATATATCCAACAGCAGGCTTAACTACGTTTACTTTCTAAGCTAAAATAGTTTAAGACATATTGAGGGCATCTTACAATAAGATATTTTGTGAGGAACATAGTTGCAGTGCATAATCATCATCAGTTTCTTGAACAATGCTGGAGCATATACATTTATCTCTTATTTGCCCTAGCAAGGAGAGAGTTTATCAGTAAGGTACATAAAGTTGTTACAATACACAGGATTTTATCTTTAGCATGACTTACAAAAAATAAAAAAATATAATAGTTGTACTGTAATATGTATCAGAAGGAAAGCAAACTTTCAACAAAATAGAAAATTTTAAATTGCAAGAAACACTAGGTTTTTGTTTTACTAAACCAAAAAGATATTCAACACTGTAGTTTATTTTTTTGTACTTATAAATCCCATATATTAAGTTGTTGACACACTTGTTTTAATCTAAAAGTTGTAATAAAACATACACCACACCTGTCTGTTACAAAATTTTCTGTAATGAAAATTAAGCATATCTTTAGCAGCTTATTTCTGTCAATATTAACTCTTAAATTTCTTTCAATTAAAATTCCTCTCAATACAATAGTGAGAAGCTGGATTTTGGACATCCAGAAAATTCACCAAACAGAACAGGAATGAGTAGCATTCTATAAAATTTTTATGCATGCATTTCATGCTTTGAGGACACCAGTGGCTATCTTTGCTCACTGTGATATGAACATTCAAGAGAATGACAATATTATACTTTTATGGCACAATGATAATGATCTCATTAGCATGACACTTTGTGTTAATTAAGAGCTCTGCTAGGAAAAATAAAAATTTGAACAATTCATTCAAAATAAATTAAATATTTCAAACCACATATGTTATAAACTCAAATGATACATTATTACTCTTCATACAATGATTTAGAGGGCTAAAATTAAAATCATAACCCATTTATTTGACTACTACTGTATACTGAAGCAGACTCAAATTCATTTCATGAATTTTGTTACCCAATATACTATACTACAAGAAATACAAACATAATTGTCTTTATATATTTCCATAACAGGAAGAAGTACTGTAGCTGGCATCTAGTTTACATAACACTACTGTATACCTTTAATGGCTATAAGTACTGTAGTTGGTATCTAGTTTACATAACATAGCATATACAGGTCCACATTCCTTCATCCAAAACCTTAGGGGCCAGTGCTGTTTCGAATTTCAGAATTTTTCGAAGTTCAGAATGATTCTAAACACCGCCATGTGGCAGCGTGACCCAAGCACTGAGATGACCGATTCTCCACACTCCACGAAAAAACTTCGGTTTGTGGAACTTTTCCAATTTCAGAATTTCAGATAGAGAGATGTGGACCTGTATTACCAACAGTGCTATATTTTCTGCCATACGAGATGCACCCTTACATTTAGCCCATCCAAATTTTCGAAGTTCTTGTGGAGAAAGTGTACATTATGATGCATGTACAGTAGGACCCCAACTTATGAAGTTACAGTGCTCCTGAAAATTCCTGACAACCTACGTTATCAGAGTTGCTCCAGAGTCTTAATATTCTACACCTAATTTCACCAAGCTTTTTTCCAAAGAGTTCTTACCCAGTAGTTCACATTCAGTAACATTCTTTTCTTCACTTACAAATGGTATTAAATAATGTCTAATTAATGTATACCATTCAAGTTAATTAAATAAAACTAAGCTACAATTAACTAAATAAAACAGAGGTGTACAAAGTACAGGGTTAATGTGCCTGGGTATATAATGTGGTAAGGTAGTGGTGATGATAATTATGGTGTGGTGTTAGTGAGTGGTGTTTCTATATAGTCTCATATCTCACCTGCTGCTGTCTCTCTTGCTGTCTCATACCTCACCCGCTGCTGTTTCTCTTACTGTCCCACACCTCACCTGCTGCTGTCTCTTACTGTCTCACACCTCACCTGCTGCTGTCTCTCTTACCACCTCACACCTCACCTGCTGCCGTCTCTCTTACTGTCCCATACCTCACCCACTGCTGTCTTCCACACAAAACAGTTGACAACACCACTGCTGGTTACAAAACATAATCACACCCAACTGGGGCAATGACCCCTGAAACCCCCTCCAGGTATTCACATGCATAGAGTATACACAGAATAAATGCATTATGTAAAAAACTAACTGAACTATATAGTTTTAATTCAACCAAGAAAATAAATATTAAATCAATGCATGCATAGTTCCTTTGTATAAGGCCAAAGGGGACAAAAGAGAGAGTAAGAATTATAGGGGGAATAAGCATGTTGAGTATACGTGGTAACATTGCCAGACACCTGACCGAAGGACATTTGGCCGAACAGACATTGCGCCGACAGCTATTTGGCTGAACGGACAAATGGCTGTCGGTTAGTTAAGTTTGTTATTTTATGGGCATCCTAACTTATTTTTTATTCCTTCTTGTTAATGTTTGGAAAACATGCTGTGATGAATACCAGTTCGGTTTAAAATATCTGTTGGGCGAAATATCAATTAGTGAAATGTCTATTCAGTCAAATGTCCTCCAGTAAAATATCCGTCAACAAAGTGTCCAGTGGCTAAATGTCCAGGAGCTCCTGGTAAGGTATATGGTAGAGCTATTACTGAAAGAACTAAGAGTAAGATGGAAAGCAGGATCACAAATGAACAAGAAGGCTTTAGGAAGGGTAGGGGGTGTGTAGACCAAGTGTTTACAGTGAAGCATATAAGTGAACAGTATTTAGATAAGGATAAATAGGTTTTCCCTAGGTAGTAGGTTGGTAGACAGCAACAGCCCAGGGAGGAACTACCATCCTGCCAAGTGAGTGTAAAACGAAAGCCTGTAATTGTTTTACATAGATGGTAGGATTGCTGGTGTCTCTTCTATCTCATAAACATGCAAGATTTCAGGTACATCTTGCTACTTCTACTTACACTTAAGTCACACTACACATGCATGTACAAGCATGTGTAGTGTGACCTAGGTGTAAGTAGAAGTAGAAAACCCTCTGGGTTTTCTTCTATTTTCTTACTAGTTCTTGTTCTTGTTTATTTCCTATCTCCATGGGAAAATGGAACAGAATTCTTCCTTCATAAGCCAAGCGTGTCATCAGAGGTGACTAAAATGCCAGGAGCAAGGGGCTAGTAACCTGTTCTCCTGTATACATTACTAAAGTTAAAAAGAGAAACTTGGTTTTTCTTTTTGGGCCACCCTGCCTCGGTGGGATATGGCTGGTTGGTTGAAAGAAGAAAAATAGGTTTTCACTGCATTTATGGATTTGGAAAAAGATTGGAAAGAAATTCAAAATATTTCTTTTCATATTGCCAAAAACAAGGCAAATATCACATCTAGTATCGGGCCCTTGCTCAGACAAGATGGGACTTACACAGATGACAAGGAAATGAGTGAGATACTGAAATCTCAATATGACTCTGTGTTTAGCAAGACACTAATCATTCTAAAGATCGACAATCTAAATGATTTTTTCATGAATGAGCCTCAAAACTCCATCAATATATGCCATATTTCCGACATTACCCTAACTCCGATAGACTTTGAGAAAGCTATTGACAACATGCCCATGCACTCAGCCTTAGGCCCAAACTCATGAAACTCTGTGTTCATTAAGAACTGCTAGAAACTCCCTTTGTGGGCCCTAAGTATACTATGGAGAAGGAGCTTAGACATGGGTGAAATTCCACAGCCACTAAAAACGACGGATATAGCCCCACTCCATAAAGGTGGCAGCAAAGCATTAGCTAAGAACTATAGACCAATAGCTCTAATGTCCCACATCATAAAAATATTTGAAAGAGTGCTAAGAAGCACGATTGCAAACCATTTGGATTCCCAAAAAGTGCACAATCCAGGGCAACATGGGTTCAGAGTAGGTCACTCCTGCCTCTCACAACTACTTGATCACTATGATACGGTCTTGGATGCACCGGAAGAAAAACAGAATGCAGATGTAATATACACAGACTTTGCAAAAGCATTTGACAAGTGCGATCATGGCATAATAGAGCACAAAATACGTGCTAAAGGAATAACTGGCAAAGTGAGGAGATGGATCTTTAACTTTCTAAAAAATCAAACACACAGAGTAGTGGTCAACAGAGCTAAATCAGAAGCTGCAATAGTGAAAAGCCCTGTTCTACAAGGCACAGTACTCGCCCCCATCTTGTTCCTCATCCTCACATCAGACATAGACAAAGATTAATCCACAGCACCATGTCATCCTTTGGAGACAATACTAGGATCTGCATGAGACTGTCATCGATTGAGGACGCTGTTAACCTCCAAGAAGATATAAACCAATTTTTCCAATGGGCAACAGAAAACAATATGATGCTCAATGAAGACAAATTCCAACTATTCCGTTATGGAAAACTGGAGGAGATAATAATTAGAACTGAATGTACTACAAACTCTGATCATACAATAGAGCAAAAAAATAATGTGAGGGACCTGGGAGTGATATGTCTGAGGATCTGACTTTCAAGGATCACAATAGTGCCACGATCACAAATGCAAAGAAAATGATAGGATGGATAATGAGAACATTCAGAATAAGAGATGCCAAGCCAGTGATGATCCTTTTCAAATCACTTGTTCTCTCTAGGCTGGAATATTGCTGTACATTAACATCTCCACTCAGAGCAGGTGAAATTGCAGATCTAGTGTGTTTACAGAGAACCTTTACTGGACATATAAGTTCTATCAAACACCTCAACTACTGGGAATGCTTGGAAGCACTTGACTTGTACTCATTGGAATGCAGGCAAGAGAGAGATATCATAATCTACACTTGGAAAATCCTAGAAGGAATGGTCCTGAATCTGCACACAGAAATCACTCCCTACGAAAGTAAAAGAGTGGGCAGGCAGTGCAAAATACCCCCAATGAAAAGTAGGGGCACCATTGATACACTAAGAGAAAACACCATAAGTCACCAGGGCCTAAGACTGTTCAATAGCCTCCCTCCCACAATGCAAAAGGGGAATTACCAATAGGCCCATGGCTGCCTTCAAGGGGGAGCTAGACAGATACTTAAAGTCGGTGCTGGATCAGTCGGGCTGTGATTCGTATGTTGGGCTATGTGCAGCCAGGAGTAACAGCCTGGTTGATCAGGACCTGATCCACCGGGAGGCCTGTTCATGGACCAGGCCGCAGGGACGTTGATTCCTGGAATACCCTCCAGGTAGACTCCAGGTAGGTATATGATAGGGTGGATAGGGAAGCAATGTGGCAGATGTTTCAAGTTTATGGAATGGATGGTAGGTTACTGACAGCAGTTAAGAGTTTTTATGAGGATAGTGAGGCTCAGGTTAGAGTATGCAGGAGAGAGGGAGATTATTTCCCAGTAAAAGTAGGCCTTAGACAGGGATGTGTGATGTCACCACAGTTGTTCAACATATTTATAGATGGGTCGTAAGAAAGTGAATGCTCGGGTGTTGGGAAGAGGTGTGGGATTAAAAGATAAAGAATAACACAAAGTGGGAGTTGTCACAATTGCTTTTTGCTGATGACATTGTGCTTTTGGGAGTTTCTGAAGAGAGGTTGCAGAGGTTGGTGGACGAATTTGGGAGGGTGTGTAAAAGAAGGAAATAAAAAGTGAATGTAGGAAAGAGCAAGGTGATGAGGATAACAAAAAATTTAGATAATGATAGACTGCGTATCAGATTGGAGAGAGGGAGTATTGAGGAAGTGAATGTGTTCAGATATTTGAGAGTGGACTTGTCAGTAGATGGGTCTGTTAAAGTTGAGGTGACCCATAGAATTGATGAGGGGAAAAAGGCGAGTTATGTGCTGAGAGTCTATGGAGACAAAGGATGTTATCCATGGAAGCAAAGGGGAAATGTATGAGAGTAGAGTAGTACCAACGCTCTTATATGGGTGTAAAGCATGGGTGGTGAATGTTGCATCACGAAGTCTGGAGACAGTGGAGATGTCATGACTGAGGGCAATGTGTAATGTGAATATTATGCAGAGAATTTGTAGGTGTGGGGTTTCTAAAAATGTTATCCAGGGTTGTTGAGGTGGTTCGGACATTTAGAAAGAATGGAACAAAATTGAATGACTTGGAGGGTGTATAAATCTGTAGTGGAAGGAAGATGGGGTACGGGTCATCCTAGGAAAGGTTGGGAGGGGCGGGGAGGTAAAGGAGGTTGTGTGTGTGAGGGGCTTAGACTCCCAGTAAGCATGCATGAAGCATGTAAGGTAGGAGTGGGTGGATGTCAATGGTTTTTATGACTTGGCATGCTGTTGGGGTGTGAGTAAAGTAACATTTAAGAAGGGATTCAGGGAAACTGATTAGCCAGACTAGAGTCTTGGAGGTGAGAAGTACAGCACCTCCACCCTAAAGGAGGTGTGAAGATATGTGGCAGTTTTTTAACTGAAGTGTCAGTACACCTTTGGCAAGACAGTGATGGAGTGAGTGATGATAAAAGTGTTTCTTCTTTTTCGGGTCACAATGCCTCAGTGGGAAATGGCTAATGTGTTAATAAAAACAAAATGTAAATCAGTGGTTCTTGACCAATCTCTACCAAACAAATGTGAGCTCTCTATACATGCACGAAATGAACACACACACGTATTGGGTAAAAAAAAAAAAAAAAAAAATTCTTTACTGTATTCAAAATAATTTGCTTCAATATTTACAGTGATTGTAGATCAGTGTTCATATGTAGAGGTAATTAACTGGTTACAAAGTGCCAATGTCATAAGAATAAAACATTATAAGTCAGAATGTCACAAGCTGGGGACCCACTCTACTGCTACCACAATTACATGAGCCATATAAGAGGAAGGCTAGAATTTTTTTTATTTAGCTTTATTGGGGAAAAATTTACATCAAATATGACAGACAATGCAGAATTTGCCTTAGCAAACTTTTCTGTATTGAATAACTAAAGTGTAATGAACACTTATCAATGATGAATAACAACCAACATGGAGAAAAAATTCAGAAGATTGTTTGATCTGTATATTTTGACCCCCAGAAGGGGCAGACGACCAAAGTGTTGAAAAAAATATATCGCTTTTATAAACAAATGTGAAAAAAATTATCACTTGGAGCAAATATCCTCTTTAGTAATGTGTAAAAATACTGGTAAAAATCATTGACATAATGTTAGGTAAGAGGACATAAGAGCAACTGAGATTTATTATGACTGTTTTACTCTCTACTACAACTAACATGGCCAGTAGGCCTACTGCAGTAGTTTTCTTACTTCTTGCACCTGATCATGAACCCTTAAAGCAGTGTCCTTGTTTGTACTGCTCGATGAAGCTCAGAAGAGTCAAACACTGCCATTATAAACTTCTCATTAGCTGCTCTTGAGTTATCAATGAAATTAGTTATTAGTTACAATTTTCACCACAAGTCCATAATTTTGCAACAAATGTAAATCCCATTTATGTACTGAATTTTTAAGTAATAATTTTTTTTTAAATTAATGTTCACAAAACTTTTTTTTCCATTTAAAATTAGAACTGGTGAGGTAAAATGTACATCATCAGTACACAAAAGATGAAATGCTACTGACAGCAAATGACAATAAGGTTGTGACAATGCCTCTGAACATAGTAGCTGGCTATATAACTGCCTAGTCAACACAACCATATATAACTGCTCCTGTAGAGGTGAAGTACAAACTTTCTTACTGCCACATACATCAAAATTCACTCCATGAAATTTTGACTGTTCCTAATATTTTTAAGTGGTTTTTGGTGAGCCTGAGGAAGTTAAAGCTTGAGGATTAACAGGAACCTCAGCTGACTCTTGCTTGGATCCCCAAGCAGGTTTGGGTTCATACTGCTCAGTAGTGATACGAACCTCATCACTATGTGTGGAGTCTGATGACTGTGTTGTTAACTCACTATCCTCACTATCAGAGTCAAAGCTGCCATTTTCCATTGCAGCAAGAGGTGCCCTCTTTGGTGGATCACTCAAGGAGTGCACATCAGACTGCTGCAGGTGGCATGTTACAGGTGGAATGGAAGTTAGTGAACTTTTAACACTACTACTATCTATGGGCAAGCCTAATCCTGTGTCCTCTTGACTGGTGCTGTCCATTGATGAACTTAATAATGAGTCTCTATCACCTTCATGATGTGGGCTGCTTGGACTCGGTGTATGGCTCCCACCCCCCCTGCTGCCACACATGCCCTCATCAAGGAATCCACTGTCTGTCAGATCACTTAAACTTAGGGAATCTGAATCTTTATCACTCCTCCGACTTTCAACTGGATCAGTTTTACATGCAGCTACGTTTCTTTGTGGCACTAAATCTTTCCTCTGGAATTCTGATGAAGTGTTCTTGATGGCAACAATATCCACAAACACATCATCACCATCCCCTTCTGATTTCAGTCGGACAAACTGACCTGATAAGACATGCGGCTGTTTTTGATCCTCGGGAAGACCAGCTGATTTACAGCCTACAAGTTTATTCTGTTGACACTTCAATTCACTATCTCCATTTTTTTCCATCACTGAAGATGTTTCTTCTACACTAAAGCCTCTTTCTACTCTAACTGGAGAAGAAATTACAATTTTTGGCCCTGATGCAGAATTTCCATTTTTGTAACCAGCTGTAGTAATGCTTGTAACTTTCTGTTGATCAGTAGGCAAGCTTTGCGAGCCAGATGGTTCAGCCACCTTGGTTACAGTGAAACGTCCACCAGAACTGAACCTGTTGGGCCGTACACAAGTCTGAGTTTGTGGTTGAGTTAGGTCTCCTGCTGACATGCTTCTTCCTGACTGAGACACATGAACAGAATTGGAAAGGGAAGGAGTTTGGCTTGAACCTGCAATTAGTTCAGGTGAACTTTTGGAGGTCTCGTGTACCTTGAACACTTTGAACCGATTTTTGAGAGGGCTGGGCACTGGACTGGGAGATGGGCTGGCACAAGGGCTGGGACAGGGACTGGGAGAAGGACTTGGAAGGGGACTTGGTGCTGGACTTGTATATTTTTGTTTTTCTTCTTCTCGGTTTGATCCTTCAGTTTTATCAATAATACAAGTCTTGTTTGTTGTCTCACAAGTGAGTGAAATTTTTCTAATAGCTCCACTAACACACAAACCTTCCTTTGAAGATTTATCTTTAATCTCTTCTTGATTGTCATGTTTCGTATGTTCTACTGAAGCACGTACGTGACTTTGAGTTAAGTTGCGCTGACAGTACTCTTTTATTTCTTTTTGTAGTGAAGAATGTTGCTCTGCTAACTCTACTGCTGGCTCACTTCTGGGGTCAGAGTCAATGTCCATTTGGATGATAGTAGAATTGAGACGAAGTGAGTGAGCCAGAGCCATGAGCCCAGCCACACGTATTGGGTTTTCACGTAAATCTATATGTTGAATAACAGTGTTGTCAGCAGTATATTCAGCAAGAGCTACAGCTCCTTCATCTGCTATTCGGGATGCTTGTAGACCTAAACGCAGTAAGGCATGATTTCTTAGTAAGGACTCTTTCAAACGCAAAATTCCTTCACTAGTAAGATTGTTACGTCCTAAATTTAAGGTTTCCAAAGTTTTAGTTGCAGCTAACATTACAGCTAAGTGAGGTGCTGACTGTTGGGTAAGATGATTGTTCCAAAGTATCAATGAGTTGAGACCCAAGCACACAGTTTTATCACTTGACCCATCAGTTACTTCCTGCTGTTGTTGCTTCTGTTGTACAGCTATACCTTCACATACATGCCCACATCCAACATCTTGAACATTGTTGTTTCGAAGATCAAGAAGACGAAGCGTGTTATTAGCACGGACTAAGTTACCAAGCTGTATGCAGTCATTTACACCAAGTCGATTTTCTGCTAAATATAATTCTGATAAAGTATCATTTTGTCTAAGAGCAGCAGTTAGCATGATCAGTGGGCGACCAGTCAAGTTACAGTTTTCAAGATGTAATGTATGCAATCGAGCTCCTAGTCGCAGTGCTCTCCCCAGTATAGGCATGTTAGTTTCATTTAGGTTTGTATTACGAGCATCTAAATATTCAACAGATGGAGTGCGTTTTAACATCCTAGAACAGGCCTGCCATCCTCGAAAACCAATTCTTCCATTACATGAAATGTTTAACTGTGTGGCAGAGTCATAAAATTCAATCATATCAAATAGTGGTATTGCAGTATCATCATCAAGAGCACAGCCTTCTAAATCTAAGATTTTGAACTGTACTCTTCTGAATATTTCTTCCAAACCCTCACACTGACCGCCCTCCAACCTCTGTCCACGAAGACTGAGGCACTCCACACGCCCTCCAATAGCTAATGGCAGTGCCTTAATTTGTTGTAACACCCCTGGAAGTGGCTGCGTACGGTGTCGCTCACATGACAGTCGGTATGCTGCCGCTATTTCTTCTACGGTCACTCCTCCCATCTGCTGCCATGGATTAACGGGTTCCAAGTAACTGGATATCAGATGAGTTTCATCTTCAGGGAACGAAACTCGTCGACCTCTGCATCCCTGAGATCTATGTACTTTCCTAGCTGAACCTGAAGAAGGAACAGGAGTAGAAGGAGCTGAAAGTGGCTGTGTCTTCAAGCCTTTCTCATCATCACTAATAGTCAATAATTTACCCATTTGCTCTTCCTCACACCCACTGCAATCGGCTTGTCTTTGCCGAGGTAAAATCACTTTACTTTCAGTAAAAGTTTCTTCTTTTTCTGTTATTACATTTTGTTCTTTATCACTTTCAACTATCCTTACATCTCTAAATAAATCACCTGGTACTTCTATTTCTAAATTATTATTAGTTTTTTGCTTACTTTTGTCAAGTGCACTAGAGCATATATTTACACTACTGGATATCACTGTATTAAATTTAAAATTGACATCCATGTTCACTTCTGCAGCTTGGGGTTCATGAGTATTAAGTGCATGTAATGCTTGCCCAACATATTCTCTAACCTCAGCGTCTGCATCTTCAAGTTCATCAACAACTAGCTTGACACTCTTTATCAAAGAATCCCCTACACAAGATTTTCCCTCTTCAAGATTTTCTTTACTGCCACTTTCACTCTCAACTGCATCCTTATAAATACAAGTGTCATCAGAAGACATAGACTCACACTTTGAAGAGAAAATATTGCCTTCACAATCTCTCTTCTCATTAACAGAATTTGTAAAGGAGTGTTCACCAACACCTGTACTAAATGGTACAGAGCTTGTAAGTGCTTGATTCACTTCACATTTACCCTCACATGCAACAGAAAAAGATTCAGTTTCAACATTTGCAAATGATGCTTTTAATTCATTAACATCTAACTCTAGAAAAACTGCTTCATCAGCAACATTTTCATTAGCACAACTCTCTAACTGCTCCGTTTTTGCAAATTTCTGCAAAACTGCACCCTCTCTGGGACCTTCCAAAAAGTTATTTACACTTGGATCAACATTTTTTTCTTTCACACCCAAATCTGTTTCATGTTTTTCATCTCTGCATACTTCTTGCTGATGAGTATCTTCTCCAGTCACTCCTTGTGTCACCTCTGTTGTATTTTCATAATGTGCCACTTGGCCACCTTCCTCTGTGTCCACCAAGGCATTGTCAAGATGTTTTGGTCTTGCCTGTGGATCATCACTGGCAGCTTCACTTTTGTTAGTATAGCTCATAATGCTCCTGATGTTGCATAAGTTCACTGTGATGCAACACTTTGCTGTGCTCTGTAAAACTATTACGACCGAGTCTACAGCAGCGCTGCTTTCTTAGTTTATCAACACTTGAGGAATCACAGAGAACAAATATATCAGGACAATAAGCAAATTCACGTTGATGAGCAAGTTCCTGTAGATACACAGAACTGCACAGATTTCTATACTGAAACATGTGTGTTTTTTTAAGAAATGCAAATCTCAAAGTTCCCATGACAGAATTTACAAATATTGTCATACAATATTCATGTGTTGGTTTTCTATGCCCTTTCAAGGCTGTAACCATAGAACCAAGTGCTGAAATTGTATTTGTTTAAACTTTTTTAACAGGTAATGGTACATATACTGTGTATATATACAGCATATATACATGTAATATATATATATATAAAAATATATATATATACATATATATAATATATATAAAATAATATATATATAATATATATATAATATATATATATACATAAAATATATATTATATATATATTAATTTTATATTATATATACCTATATAATATATACTGGTGTCCTACCAGCTGCTAAAAGTGAGAACATTCAATGAGAGCAGCGTCACTTGAGGTTGTGTGGGAAGCGCTTGTGAATCAATTCCACAGCCTTATTATAATGTTCCAAATTTGTGTCAGGACATTGACGAACAACCTGAAAGGAAGGATAAAAGTTATGTCAAAATAGTTTATAATACAATACAATTTTTACTTCTTCATGCAATACAAATAACGTACAGTGATACCTCGCATATCCGGCCTGCCATTATCTGAACCTCGCCAATGTGCAAACAGGCCCTGGGAAAGGGCAAAATTCTATAATTACATATTATCGAAACATCTGAACAGCCGCTCAGTTACAACACAAGGCAGAATCAAACTTGGCGTGCACTTTAGTGTACCGTTTGGCCACTAGGAGCCGTGCTCTTTGCCTTCCTTTTAGCATTATAACAGCTGTGTTTTGTCCTAGCTACCTTGTGTATGGCACCAAAGAAGGCCAGGAATGTAATTAATCTAGAAAAAAAGAGGGAAATATTGTTGCACATGGATGCAGGCTGGTCCAAGGCTGGGGAAAAACTACAGAAGACGACATGCAAGACTGGCTAGTGTGTGAGAAGATGACCCTGGTGTGCAATCTCTAACGGATGCAGAAATTGCAGAATCAGTGTTGCACCCGGAACATTCCGAAAGTGACAATGACGACAATGACCCAATGCCTTCAAGACCAAAAACTTCAGCAGCAAGGGCAGGTGTCGAAACACTTTTGTAGTACATATTTGGAACATCCACTGTCCACAGCCCATTTGAAAAGTTATGGTCCTGTGGTCTGTGAAATCTGGGAGGCTATTATTCAAGCCCAGTGTCTGGTCCCACTGCCAGACGAAGTTGGGACTCATTTTTTAAACCTACAATGCCGTCAACAATGGCAATATGACAGGACGGATGCACCTTTTTCCCCCCTTCATGTATCCAGAAACTCCATGTTTCTGAACCAGTCTCAGCCCATATACAGTGGACCCCCGCCTTACGAACGCATCGCGTTACGTTAAATCTGCCATACGAAGCATCTGAACGCAAAAATTTTGCCTCGCCTTACGTGATTCGTCCGGGACGCGTCCCACGTGTGGCCTCAGCGCCAGTGTTTACAAGCCAACCAGTGCAGTCACATCTACACATACATTCAGTACATTTTACATTATCCCAGTGTTTTTAGTGCTTGTAACTGCAAAATAAGTCACCATGGACCCTAAGAAAGCTTCTAGTGCCATCCCTGTGGTAAAAAGGGTGAGAATTAGTATGGAATTGAAAAAAGAGATTAAGGAAATGTGTGCAAAGTGGGTTGAACTGCAAACCTTTACAGATGAAAATCACCCTGACACAGCTACTGCAAGCCGTGTTGGCAACCTGTACAATGACAATGTTATGGCCCATTTTAGGAGTCTTAAAGGAACAGGAGGTACAGAGCTCTATGGACAGATTTGTGCGACAGAGGTCCAGTGACTCTCAAGCTGGTCCTAGTGGCATTAAAAGAAGAAGGGAAGTAACCTCGGAAAAGGACTTGCTACCTCAAGTCCTAATGGAAGGGGATTCCCCTTCTAAACAATAACTTCCACAATCTCCCCTCCTCCCATCCCATCAATCATGACCAGATCTTCAATAAAGGTAAGTGTCATGTATTCTATTCTTAGTAGAGTAGTAATTGTACATGTCTTCTTCAGTTTGTGTGTATTAAAATTAATATTTCATGTGGTAAAAAAATTTTTTTTTTTTGATACTTTGGGGTGTCAGGAACAGATTAATTTAATTTCCATTATTTCTTATGGGGAAAATTAATTCAGCTAACGATAATTTCGGCTTACGATGAGCTCTCGGGAACGGATTAATATCGTAAGGTAAGGCGGGGGTCCACTGTACTTCGGATATGAGAGGTATCACTGTAGTTTACATGATCTGGTGTAGTGGAACCACAGGTAAGGTAAGGGTAGATTAGATTGTGGCAGTGTGAGTAGTGTTGTTTCAGGTACACAACAATGTATCTTAGAGAGGATGCCTAGCAGACATCAATGACATACTTGTCATACTATACAGAATGTCCCTTGTTATACAGAGCATTTTGGGTAAATTAGGTTGATTTTGTCCCCAAGATGCAACCCACACCAGTCGGTTAACACCCAGGCCCCTATTTACTGCTAGGTGAATAGGGACAGCCGGTATCTTAAGGAAACACGCCCCCCAATGTTGCCATGTGTACTGAGGATTGAACCACGGACCTCAATCTGAGAGCTGAGCGTACTACCAACCCACCTACAAGAGCACTGTCTTGGAGCACTCCTACATCAACAGGCCGAGCTAACAAGGTTATGCCGGTGGTGGAGACATACTGGTGTCTATGGCTAAGATAATTGTGATGATTATGATAACTGGCTTACAAAATGAAAACTCATCGCTCAGTTTTTTCCAATTTTAACATAGATTTCAAGGTAACAAACTGAAGAAAAGTAAAATACAAGAGGGAGGGAAGGATGGGAAGGAGAGAGGAATATGGAGGGAGAGGGAAAAAGATATATATCAAAGCATGCTTGTATAAAAGTTTTCTTTGTATATCCAGTCATGTCGTTAATACAATGGATTAAGTCTTTCAATATAAAGTATTTTTCACTAAAGTGGACACCTTTCCCTTATTAGTCTATACTTGCTCAAAGAAGACTAACAGGTAGAAGTTTACAAGAGAAGTAGTCCTACATCACCACAATCTTGTACTATATGACCAAACTCCAGCTTCATGAATAAAAATCATTCAGTTCTACAAAGTGAATGAGTAAATCACTGAAAATGAGACATGTTGAGCACAGCCCTCTTTCTGTAGCTCCCAAAAAGTACAATAATTACACATGGAGAAACTTACTTCTGCCATGAGAGTTGCGCAGCCGTGCATCATAGTAAGTTCTCCATAAACAGCAACTTGAGTGTTTTCCTTAAGCTTGCGTCGAGATATTGATCCAACATATACCTGTCAAAAAGTAAACTTCTCTTTTATATATAGTTCCTGTAACAAGGCAAGTAAAGTCTGATAAAGTAACAGGTACATTATGCCTACACTCCCATACCTAGCTAATTCTTCTTCTAGAGAAATAATTTATTTCATTTGAAAAGACAAGACTAAAGGTTGTACATCGTCGGTAATAGAATGAAAGAAGATTTTGTTTGAATATCATTTTCCTGTGGCCCATGCTAGGGCCCATGCTACATATCTATTTTAAAGCTAGCCAAAATGCACACTTCATCAGCACTACTTGGGAGAATAAGTAACATTACCATGGCCAAAACAATTCACAGCCTATAAACTGAAGAAGAAACTGTTTTGGTGAATCCTTGGCCATTATCAAGTTGTGACTGGAAGGACATCTAAACTGTCGTATCTACACTATCTGGCAAGACAATGATAGTGTGAATGATGGTGAATGAGCTTTTTTTTGGGTCACCCTGCCTTGGTGGGAGATGGCCAGCGTGTTTGATAATAATTATTATTATTAAACAAGCTGCCTGAGAAAGCAGAAAATCAGTGTAGTTCAGTCAATAAGCACAAGGACAGTGCAGGTTGAACCCTCCGTCCACTAAGCAAGAGACCAGGGGTTCCCGACCTGGGGTGCACACACCCCCAGGGGGGGTGCAAGATGGCATTTCAGGGAATGCAACTAAGAGTCCTAGTGAAAAGCCAATTTGTGATCAAAAATTAGAAATTTGACTTCATCTTCAAATGTGATATTACTTTATAGGCTGTGCAACATCAAACATTTCCTAGGGGTGTGGGGCACAGAAAAGGTTGGCAACCCCTCATTAGACAGACACATTATTGAAGTACTGTGGTACCCCAAGTTTTGTACAGCTCCCAACTCAAACAATTATGTAAGTGTATTATTGTAAGTGCTTTTGTAAGTGTATTTTTGAGGGGTCTGAAACGGACTAATCTAATTTACATTATTCCTTATGGGAACAAATTTGTTCGGTAATGGCACTCGAACAGCCTTCTGGAGTGAATTTTGGCCAAAACTCAGGATACCACTGTACATATAGGTACACAAAGTTAGGTGACTGCAATCAGTGACTGCAACATGGTGCTGCAACTAGCTTTATGGGATTACAACCCAACAGGGTTAGGTAGTTAAGAGGTGATAAAGAATAATAAAAAATTCTTGAATAGCTAAGATAATAGGTAATAAAGAATAATTGGAATACTCTGTCATCCTCGTCTATAGTGGTTTCTACTTTCAAGTCCAGAAGAAATAGCACTGCCTATCTTAAATTGAAAAAAATTGCCACACTATATAGAGTACTGTACTTACATAGTGTGCACACATCTGTTAATCTGTTATGTATCTCTTAATGGTCCTGGGGACCATCAAATAAACTTTGACTTTGACCCCATCTAGGACCAGGCCAATCTAAATTGGGAAGGAAATATTACAGGAATATGAATTACTGTTTTAACAAACCCACAGAAAAGTTTAAAAAACTGTAAACTAAATGTAAGTAGACATTTGTAAGGATAACCCACAAAAGTCATTGTGTCACTGGGATTGTCTGTCTTATTTCCAGTGTGGTCCTTTAATCTTGTCCCCCAGGATGCCACCCACACTGGTCAACTAACACCCAGATATGTACCTACTTACTGGTAGGTGAACAGGGACAGCAGGTGTAAGGAAACATGCCCAATGTTTCCACCCATGCCGGGGACTGAACTATGGACACTCAGTGAGAGACAAGTGCATTGCCAACCGAAGTATTTGTAAGTATTTCGACTAAAGGTAAGGATGGGCGTTATGTATGCGAGGTTAAAGTTGTTAAGAGTGTTAATGCACTTAAATGTCCCTTTTATAGTGAATGTTTCACACTGTATGCATTGATTTAAACGAAGATGACCTGAATTGCATCTTCAGGCATCATAGTTCAGGCTTTTGGTGGTTGTACAATGGTGTGTTATAAGAGATGTTGTTCTTCAAGAAGTTAAGAACTTGACTTTCAGGAGCATTGGCGGACAGTGATTCTGTGTGAGTGATTGTGGCACTGATGCTGTTTAGTAATATTTTGAATGTTATAAAGCTACAACCAGAGGAAGAGAAACTATCAAACATTAGCAGTGAGCTGCAGGACCCTCTTGTCTCTCCTCAGTCTTTAATAATGTTAAGAAAAGGGTTGAAGAAACAAAATGGGGGAAGGAGATTCATGCTCCAAAGACCTCTGACATCAGAGTTAAAAATCATAGAGTGAACACTGTAGTATGGGATCAGCTCGTTCTTACTGACAAGGCAAACTGAAAGCCCCAGTGGAAAACATTGCTGTTACCCAAAAATTTAAATTTGGGGGAATCACAGGTTCAGCCTAATTATTATTATAATAAAAAAGAAGCGCTAAGAAAAGGACTATACAGCAGTTATTATTTTTTAAAATAAAAAAGAAAGCGCAAAGCCACAAGGGCTATACAGCCTGCGGGGGGGAAAGAAGAAAGGGGAATTGGAGGGCAAAGGGGGGGGGATGACAGCATTCAGAAAACAGGGGGGGTGGGGATAGTAGGGGGGTAGAGGGTAGAAAGAGTTTCAATAGAAAGGCTGAAAAGTATCAAATTTGTGAAGTAAGCAGTCGTTGTCAAAAAGTCAATGAGAGAGCCCGGATGAAGGGGGGGTCCTCACGGAAGGGAAGGAAAGAAGAGCAGGGGGGGAAAAGACGACGCAGAGGTAATTCTGCGTGCTCGTTGATAAATGGCATCCAACAAATTGGCTGATGATAATGGAGCTTGGGAATTCTCCAGAGGGGACAAACCCTCTCCTGGTTTTCCATGAGTAAGAGATATGGCCAATGGAAGAGGGAGAGAGTATCTCCCAACCTCGCCCGGGGTGATAAAAGAGGGCCAGAACCTAACTCGGTTAAAAGGTTTGTTGCCGAGCATTTAAACCCAAGTTTTGCCAAGGGGTGTAAAAGGTGGGAAATATTAAGCAAAATAGTCCGTAAGGAATACCTCTTAAGAAACGGGTAGGTCAGTACCTGCCCGCGCAGCAGTGCTGCCTGTTCATTGCCCTGTACTCAACATACCAGGGCCCAACAAAAAACAATATCTTTTGCTTAGTAAAGAGCGGCTACCCAAAAGTTGGATACGGGGACTAAGGGGTGGGTGTTAAAATTTTTGTATAGCCGTAAAGCACTAAGGGTCTGAGCACCACAAGATGACACGGGCATAGATCAATAGGGATAAGTCTGAAAGGAGGCATATAATTCAGCAGTAAAAAACAGTGAAGATAGTAAATGCCCTTGAACGACGCGCCAAACATGCTGCGAATCCTACCCGTCAAAATTTAGAGCCTCTTGACACAAATGGCATGGAATAAGTGAAAGTGGTCAAGAAAAAGAAGCGGGAAGCGACCGTGCATTTTTGGGCTTTCGAGCAAGGGAGGGAGAAAAAACAACTCGAACACTGAAATTTTCCCAGGGGGTGGGAAAAGTGAGATGCAAAATGACATAAAAGGGGGTATTGAAAAAAAGACAAAGCGAAAAAGGGCGAAGAGAAAGGAGGGAGTAAGCGGGGGGCGGCAAACAAATAAAGAAGTCTACTAATTCAGTGACCTTCTAAAAGGGAAGGTTTGGGGAGTCATGGAGGTACATAGTGCGCGGGAAATGGCCCGGCGTGGAAAAGGATGGAACGTTCGCTTCTGCAAAGGCTTTCGACGGGGGAAGGCAAAAAGCACCAAAGGCAAAAAGTAATCCTTGGTGATAAAAGGGTTTTTGGGGTAGAGAGAGTAGCAGGAGAGCCGCTGAATAATTGGTCACCATAATAAGTTTCGATAAAAAAGGGTGGAATGTAGTGAAGGAGGGTTCGACGATCGCTCCCCAAAGATGAGCTGGGTTTTAAAAAAGGTTCAGCCGGCGGGAAAAGTTGCCTTCAAGAGGTAATTGAGGTTTCCGGGATAACCAGATCAAAGGAGGCCCAAAACTTGACTGTATCACTTTCAGGGATCTACCCTAGAGGTACAAAGGGACCCGGAATGAAGAGGTCTAGTGAAAGTGATTTGTGGGTTTTAGTGCTGGAAAATTTAAAACCCATTGTGGGGGGCCCAAAATGGAAACAGGGTCGATTGCATGCTGGGGAAAACGTAGGAGGTGACAGTCAGCGCCTACGCAATACGAAGCATCAACATAGGTGAGACCAAAATTTGAGGAAGATGAGCCAAATCTTAAAGAAAGGGAGAAAAAGTTTTGTGCTCAAACACATCCCGGGGGACACCTTCATTTGGATAAATCCGGGGAAGCACTTTTATTAACCCAAACCGGAAATGCCGTCTTAAAAATTTTCTTAAAGGGAAAGGGATGGTAGATTGCCCGAAGGCCTAGGAGGGGGTTTGGGGAAAAAAATTTAAACCCCCCAAGTTGGTCTATGCCTTCTCAAGGAAAAAAAAATATGGCAATAAGAGTGGTTTTGAAAAGGCATTACGAACATACATCCAGCGCAAAAAGGGGTTAAGGGTAGAACGCCCCTTTACAAAAGCCATTTTGACGGGGGAGAGATGTTTGTGTCTCTAAATACCAACAAAACGTCTTTTTTATAACTTCCTTACTTTCAAACTGCACTGGAAAGGGGCAATGGGACGATATGGGGGTTTTCAGTCCCGTATCCCGGGTTTGGGGAAAAGGGAAGAACAAAGGCGGATTTCCACACTGTGGAAGAACCCTTGTGACCAAAAATTGAAAAGGCAAAGGACTGCAAGGGCTGACTGGTAAAATTTTAGCAACGAATTGAATGTCGTCGGGCCCAGCCCGAGAGGAAAGCTAAAGGTGTTGCCCCCAGTTTTTTGAAGTGTAAAGGCACATTATATGTTCTTCCGAGGAAGAAAAGTCCAAGGGGTGCAACTCTCTGGCAACTTTGGGGAAAAAAAAGGGGGGCATAAGGGGAGCCCCCTGAGAAATAGGGCCCCAGTGTTTCCCAAATTTTTTTGGGCAACACTAGGGTTTGTAAATCAACAC